TTTCCGAATTGCAAGTTTACAAGTAATTAAGGAGAAGCTTTTTCGATTGACCGCGTCTCTTAATGTTTCCATGCTTTTGTGTATCATGTTGTTTATAAGCTTGATATAAATAAAAATTGAAACCGAAAGTCGTCTTTCTTACGTTAATATAATCTCCTACCACTAGAGATAAAAATCCACCAAAAAAAAAGAAAGAAAATCATCCAATACCTCCGCAAAACTATACATTTGCGAAAATATTTTCAAAATAATGGCTAATCCTATAAAAAGAACGCAGTCATCTCTCCAAACCAATAAACCAAGTTCAGAAGGAATTTCCAGAAATTATCTGTTTGTCTGTCTGGCTATGTGTTTGTCTGTCTGGCTATGTTTTTGTCTGTCTGTCTATGTGTTTGTCTGTCTGTCTATGTGTTTGGATGACTCTTGAACCCCTAGATCTATTTTCCTTAAGTTTTGATTGGGGAACAAGGCTAAACCACGGGAATGTTCTTATTGTGGTTTAAAGTTTATTGAAAAATTCCTGACATCGGTTTTTTGGTTTTGAGAAAAGACTGCGTAGGATTCTTCATTATTTGGAAATAGTTTTACATAGTTTAGTTTTTAAGAAGTACATAACGATTTTTAAAGATATTTTTGGTGGATATTAATTATCTTTATAACGAAATAAAAAAGACACTTTATAAAAACAACCTATGCTCGATATAAAGGTGGTGTAATTTTAAGAAAACTGAACGATTTTTTAAGGGACTGTAAAGAAAAAATGAAAGGGGGTTATAGGACAAAACCTGAGAATCTCAAGCGTTAAACGATACATATAAGACATCTATCTGATGTTCCTGTTTTGAGAAATTGATACAAAACTGTGTCAAATTTATACGAAAATTCATAAATATGCAATTTTGTATAAAATAGTTGTATAAGCAGCCTGAGAATCTCAGGTTTGCTCCTATCATAATTTGTTAATTTTTATTTTCCATTTTTAATAGATATAATTGATAATATAATTACATATAGTCCGTACTCCGTATAGTCCGTATTACGTCACCAGAAGTTCAGCCAATGGCAGTGCAGTATCATTGTCACGTGATACAGACGGAAATCACGCGATTCAAAATTTATACGAGATTTCTAGTGCAGAAACAACGAAGAAAATTGTCAAAATTGAATAAGCTTACAGGATTTCAGGGTTACAGGGTTACAGGGTTACAGGGTTACAGGTTTACAGGGTTACAGGGTTACAGGGTTACAGGGTTACAGGGTTACAGGGTTACAGGGTTACAGGGTTACAGGGTTACAGGGCTACAGGGTTACAGGGTTACATGGTTACATGGTTACAGGGTCACAGGGTTGTAGAGTTGCAGGGTCACAGGGTTACAGGGTTACTGGGCTACAGGGTTGTAGGGTTGTAGGGTTGTAGGGTTACGTCACTGTGTTACAGGGTTACTGGGTTACAGGATTACAGGAATATAGGGTTACAGGGTTACAGGGTTACAGGGTTACTGGGTTACTGTATTACAGGGTAACAGGGCTACTGGGTTACTGGTTTACTGGGTTTAAGAACATTAATTTTCTTTTGTTCTCTTCTTGTTTATTTGTCTTTTTGTCATTTTAATCCGAAATTGGTGTTATTGACAGAACGTATGATTAATTGTTTCTATTTATATTAAAGGATGTATCTTAACTTTTGTTAATTTATAAAGATTGAACTGAAGTAGAAGTCGAGAAATTTCATTTTTTACAAGAACTGAACCTTTGTCACAAACTTAAGCGTTTTAATCCCTATATAATTCCAACCTGATGGTGTGAACCTTTGATATTTAAAACTTAGAATATTAGATCTAACAGAATTCATGTTTTGAAATATTAAAGGTTTACGACATTGAGTTGTGTCAAAAACTCATTTCCTTTGTTTCCATTGCTTTGCAATCGCGCCAAATATTTCAGTTTAATGTTTAAGGTTTAGGGTTTTTTTTTTACAGGATTTTAAAAATAATCCATCACCGATGTAAAGCATTAAAAATTCAAATTATTTACCAGGGTTTTGATTCTAAGCGTCATAATTTTATGTTTGATTTTTAGTATTGATTCAATGGTAACTTGAGTATAAAAAACTGTTTATAGTTCAGATAAAAAACTCTAAAATGTTGCTCCGAGGTTTTCGGGGTTTTCTTTATTTAAAAATTCGTGCGTCAAACTAAAAAAAAATATTTTTTTCTTCTTATTTTACCTTTTCTATTTTTGTGATGAAATGCATGGCTCTTAGCAAGGAATCCTATTTTGCACTTTTATAAACTTTTTTTAGTACAAAGAAAACTCTTAAGGCATTATTTTGTGGACTTCAAGTGTTTTATTTTTAGGAGAAGATTCATGAAAACGTGAATAACATTCTTGAATTTCCTGTGGAATATTTTTCCATATGAATTGTTTTGATTTCAAAATTTTCCAATTGCTGTGCAAAGATGTATTGCACCGCATAGATACAGACTGTTGCACCAGTTCTTAAAACAGGGCCACGACTTTAAACCCTAAAAGGCTTTGGGGTCTGAAGTTATTTATAGTTTGGGAGTGGAAGGGGTGTCGCACGACCCTCCTAAGTCCTAGAAAAGGCTTAAGATTGAAGGTACATGGTTGAGATGTATGTTCATTGTTCATAGCTCAACTTTGCAAGGTGCAGCTCATGGGCCGGGAAAAGAAATTAGACCGCTTGCTTTAATATTTTGGGTGCTGGGAAGGGTTGACAAAACTGCAAATGAAGGGGTCGGACTAATTTAAATATTCTTGTTGACAAATATTTTTCTACGTCAATTTTTCAAGGACTTTTCAAAAATGTTGTTTTAAGACCATTCGTCACAAAAAAAAGCTATGGGCTATTTCAGATTCTTTTTTAAACACAGACCCGGGCTTTTACAGCCATGGCACTTATAGTTTCAGTAGAAGTAAATATTTCCATATACTATTATAGCGCCGATATAAGGATTTATCTCTAATTGGATAATGAGATAGATAGAAAGATAGATGTTACCGCCATGGAAATTCTATTGGTTCAGATTAGACAACATACACATGACTGAACCCTGACTGGATCAAGTGCTAATGGACTCGGCATACAGGAGTGCTGCGCTTTGGCCTATGCATAAAAAAATTTTTTTATCAAAAATCCTATATATTCAGATTCCTAACAATAACAAAAAATATTTCCTCTAATTTTACCTCTATAACTCTCTTTTACTTTTGTAGCCCCAAAAATGTACATTTCAAAACCTGAAACTGGGTCGACATTAAAGGGAGTGACCGGCTTTGTTAGGTAGTTAAACTGAGTATGCAGTAACTTCTATTGGATTCATTTGAGACATATTAAAGTTTTTAAAGATCTGTAAATCCTGAGTTTGAGCGCAAATTCGACGTTCAAAACTCCTACTTTGGGGGTCGATACGTTTTCAGAATTAGTTTTTTATCATTAAATAACGACAACGAAAAATAAAGTAAAAATTATGCAGAAATCTAATTATGGTTACGCAACTACAATTTACTTTCCTTGCATTATAACCTTGGACAAATAGATAGATAGATTGATGTTAGTGTCCACTCGATGCATCTTTTATTGGTTCTGAATAACATATGCCTGACGAACCCTGAAAGGATCAGACGATACCTGATGGATCAAACAACAGTGATGACGTATATTTTTACTGCTTACAAAAAATAATAAGACATTTGGTTAGGTAAGAGCCAAGAAATTGTGACACTTTAAAGTAGACCCGATCGCAAAAATTGATGCATCATTTTCAAAGCTTTTGTTGGACTTGAACTATCTCAGAATCAAATTATTTCAATTAAATAATTTATATTGACAACCCCCCACCCTTTGCTTAAAAATGTTAACCATGTTTTGATTCTGTAATTACCCCCTCCAAGTTAGCAACAGTTTCTACCCCCTGTTGAGATATGAATACAAAAAAATGATTTACAAAATAAAAAAACCGTTTGGGGGGGGGTCACTTGAAAGTAGAGTAAAGGATACAAATTCTACTTCTATCTTACAATTGATAAATTCTAAACAAAACCAGAAAAATCTAGAAAAACAAGAAATTTCCGGCATTTATAATCCTCTTTGCAAATTTCTTTTCCTTAAAAGTGTAATTTAAAAAATAGCATTTAGAATAGAAGTGTAGTCCGCGGGGTGAGGGTTTGAGTAAACCGTGTTCTGCGGAGCAGCCGCGGCATATCTCACTTTTCGAGGATTTTTCTCACTCCGACTCCTTTCGTTCTTGATTTCACGGAACGGATTCGGAACTTCGGAAGCGGCTGCGGAACCCTTATTAGTTTGTCTCCGACAGTATTCACAGTCACAGTAGGACACATGTGTCTTCTGGTAAACTGTGAAATACAATTGATATATTCTGCAGCTGTTAATTTATACAAAAAAGTTTTTTTTGCATGCAAATTTACAAATCATAAATGGGAAAACTTTAGACGCTCTGTGACTTTGCAGTTATATTCTTTTTAAAAGTTTGAAACATAAATTGTCTTTGAGCTGAAAACTGACATTGTGTTGTATTTTGTAATCTGAAACACTCGTTTTTTAGAATTCTTCAACTTTAGAAAACTTGAACCTAACTTTTATACAACATTAACTCAATTACATGCAACTCTGTTTTGAGCTAGAATTAAAATTCAAAAAAAGTAATTCAAAATTTACTTTTTACCTTGCCAATCATGATTCTAACGGGTTCCCTTTTATAGAGAATGTGATTATAAGTGATCCTATTTTTGGGTCCGTCCTAGTATTCGATTTTTGACCCCCACCCTCTCTCCCATCAATTTTGTACATTTATTTTTTATTATTAATTAGGGTTAGGGAAAGATTTTTGGACCCCACTGCAGCCCCCCATCATCCTTCCTACACAAAGAATAAAGACAATTTATGGGTCGAGTGCTGCGGCTAGGACAGGCTAGGGGGCCGAGCGCTGCGGCTAGGACAGGCTAGGGGCCGAGCGCTGCGACTAGGACAGGCTAGGGGGCCGAATGCTGCAGCTAGGACAGGTACATTCACAAAGGTACCCCTTAAATCTCTCTCTGAGTACGAATTATCAGGATTTTTTTCTTTAAAAAGATTGTTTCCGGTATCTGGATAAAAGTATCTTTCACCTTTGATCTTATATAAAAATATTGTAAGAGTAATTTGGTTATTTCTTAATTATTTGATTTTAATCCATGTCTCGCCCGATATTTACTAGCTCTATATTGGATATATCTTTTTTAAGTACGTAAACTCGCAGAAATGTTGTGTGTGTAGTGAACGGAATGTCGAAACAGGAAGATCATTACTTCCAAATTTGCTTAAAGCCCCCTGCCCCTTAAGGCAATAAATGTCGCTTTTACATAAATATTTAATGCGTTAAGGAAGTTTCCCCAATGTAGTATCTCTGCCCCCTCCTTTTGGGGAGAAAACATAGAATGTAAAATAAAAATTCCCCCTCCTAAAACTTATAAAAAATTTACGTAACATGTTGTTTCTTCTTGGAAATTTGATGTATTTATGAAAAAAAATAACAAGAGTGAAAATAGTGAATATTTTACGAGTCAGAAGGAAACATATAGTCAGTCAGAAAAAAAAATATTTCATTTTCAAATACATTTATAATATTATCCTATATCCATTTTAAACAAATTTTCTTAACGATACTTTTTAAGACCCTGTATTTGAAATTCATTTTTCTGTTTTTGTGCCCCCCCCCCCGGACTACCTTCATTTCTCAATAAATATTAAATTTCATAGATAAGATAGTGTTTCTACATTTTAATTAGATTTTGAAATGTTTAAACTATTTTCCCCCAACTAAAGCCGAAAAAAAATCTTTTTAACGAAAATCCTAACTATCATTGTTTTAGTGTGTCGTAACAACTATGTGAATATTTTTAAAATTAAAATTGCAGGAGTTATATCAGCTGATTTGCAAGTATCGCAAAATATCCGGTTTGCATTGCAAAATATATATTGTCTAGAAAACAGCTGATTTAAGTCTCATGTTGCATGAAAACGAAGTTTCAGAGTTATCCACAAAAGATGAGACATGAATCACGACTAACTGAGCTAAATCGCCCTGTAAAGTATAGGGGATTAAAAGAATAATATAATCATCCATAATTTCAAGAACTGAAAAAACGTTAATATTTTTTTCTCCATGCATAATTTGTCATAAATATCAATCATAAAATATTACTATCGTCGGGTTGGCCGAGAAATAAAATAAACAGATTCCTCGTAGAAGAGCAGCTCAAATAGTTGCAAGGGGGAAAGTTGTAATTTGAAAAATTAGCCCTGTTTATATTCTGAATTAGCTTCAAACATTTACCCTCCTAACTCAACTTTACCCTTCCCCTTACATTTCCATCCTCTTCTACCTTGCCCCTTTTCTTCTCTCTCATGGTAGTTGGACCGTTTATATCTACTTCTCTCTCCCCGCCCCCGGCCCTTATTTCCATTCCTCTCTTTTCCTCTTCTTTTTCTTGATTCT